TTTGGGTCGAAATTTCTTCGCCTAGTTTGCGAAGACCCAGACGGCAGTGTTACCGGTGGGGTCTTCTTGGCAACCCTAGTAAATTTCTTCGCCTAGTTTGCGAAGACCCAGACGGCAGTGTTACCGGTGGGGTCTTCTTGGCAACCCTAGTAAATTTCTCCGCCTAATTTGCGAAGACCCAGACGGCAGTGTTCCCGGTGGGGTCTTCTTGGCAACCCTAGTAAATTTCTTCGCCTAGTTTGCGAAGACCCAGACGGCAGTGTTACCGGTGGGGTCTTCTTGGCAACCCTTGCAAATTTCTTCGCCTAGTTTGCGAAGACCCAGACGGCAGTGTTACCGGTGGGGTCCTCTTGGCAACCCTTGCAAATTTCTTTGCTGTTTGCGAAGACCCAAGCGGTAGTGTTACCGGTGGGGTCTTCTTGGCAACCCTAGTAAATTTCTTCGCCTAGTTTGCGAAGACAAAGACGGCAGTGTTCCCGGTAGGGTCTTCTTGGCAACCCTAGTAAATTTCTTCGCCTAGTTCGCGAAGACCCAGACGGCAGTGTTACCGGTGGGGTCTTCTTGGCAACCCTTGCAAATTTCTTCGCCTAGTTTGCGAAGACCCAGACGGCAGTGTTACCGGTGGGGTCCTCTTGGCAACCCTTGCAAATTTCTTTGCTGTTTGCGAAGACCCAAGCGGTAGTGTTACCGGCGGGGTTCTTTTGGTTATCCTCGCAGAAATATGTATAAAAAAATAACAAGAATTCTAGTATTGAAGTGCAGAAACATAAAAAGCATTCAAAAGCCGGCTCAGCCGGTGAAAATGTTAATATTCAAAATAAAAATTATTACAGCTTAGCCCATCTCATCCGGTGCTATTACAAGATAATGCAAGGCGCGCAGGCCGGGAAGTAGTTGCTACTCCAGGCGAACAGTGAACCGGTCCTCTTCCGGTTGGTTCTGGGTTGGATCAGGGTGAGCGGCTGCGTCGGCTTCAGGAACAACTTCTTCCTCTTCAGCAGCCTCCGCCTGCCGTCGCGCAATCTCCTCCCTAACCCAAGCGTCATAGGGTCCGGACCCTGGCTCATTCGCCTCCTCGGCCAGAATGGCAAGATCAGAATATTTGAAGGCGAGTTCCCAGACGGTGAAGTCCGCCTCCGGGTGGATGAGGGAAAACGCCCGTTGCATCCGGTTTGCACAGTCATGCTCATTCTCTTCAATGAGCCTCTCCTGCTCCGACTCCAAGGTGGCCTTGAAGTTCTCATTGGCAGCAGCCGCCTCTTTGCGCAGGCGCTCATTCTCTTTGGCAAGGCGGCCATTTTCAGTCTCCGCCTTGCTCAGCCGTTGGACCTCCAACTTTTTATTGGCATCATCCAGGGACGCCTGCAGTTGGTCAACTTGGTTTTTCAGCTGATCAATCTGCTGTTGGAGGGCCTTGGTCTTCTCCGCCTGTTCCATGCGTATAGATTTAGATTCTAAGCCATGCATGTAGAAAGAGTAGTCAGCAACATTATGGGCGTCATCAACAGCCCGTTTGCTTCTCCTTACCTCTTCAGACTTGCGGGTATAAGCTCGTTTGAGCCTCTCTACGCGCAGCATAGCCTGCAAAATTACAGCCGGTTAATACTGCATATTTAAAAATGCACGTCAAGAAAATTACCGCATGGTTGTTGGAGCATACGTCGGCCAGGTCGACCAGCACCCGGTCGGCATTAAAGGAGTTGATCCCAGGGATCGCCTCCTTCTCGTCCCTGGGGACGGCTTTCAGCATGGCCCGGGCATATTGTGCCCCGTCCGGCCAGCGGGGAGAATTATCTGCACCAGAAACAGACGGTGAGAAACTCGCATATGCTCTGCCTATAGATTGCCGGCTGATTGGAGAATCCCCCGGCTGCGATCGAGACTGTGAATAAGACTTGACCCGCATGGGCAGGTCAAGCAGTGTAAGGTCGAAGTTACCTTGGCGGCCCGAACGGCCTTCAGAGGGACCGGTTGCGGTCCTCAATGGGATGGCAGAAAGCACATCCGCAGATCCAGGCCCGCCTTGGACCTTTATTGATTTGCCGCCGGTAGTTTGCCGGTCGGCTGTCTTCTGCACCTTGGATGCAGACTCTTGTTGGGTCGGCGGAGGCCTGACCTGTTTTTGAAGGGACCGGGGCATTTGCTTCCCGTCCTGTAAACGAGAAAAATATAAGTTATGGGATAAAAGGATTGAAATAAACGAGAAGGATCAGACGGTTATACCTTCCTCGCCGCCTGGGCAGCAAGTTTTTTCTCGAGATTGGCTTTCCAGATGTCGGCAGCCGACCTAGCCGGTGTCTTCTCGATGGGCAGCATTTTCTTGGCTTCTTCTGCAGAGGAAGGCACACGGTTAGAATAATAAATAAGCAAGGAAATAAAAGCATCCGGTTCGAAAGAAACCGGCTGAGTTCCGAATACATACGTTTTTTAAACATGCTGCTTAGACCACAAGCGGACAAGAAGCATTCGTCCCTAAAAAATTCATGTTTGGGCACCCAGTTTCTAGGTACCCTTACTATCTCTCCGGATGAGAGGGTGTCAGGAACTAACTCAAAAAACCCGGAGTCAAGGATGGTCTCTCTATCATCCTCCGGGACAGGGGGCAGGCAGCACTTGGTCCCCAAGAGTTCTGGTTTCCGGTTGTAGATCCGGAATTCTCTGTTCTCTGCCGTAGTTGGGGCCTTAACCAAGTAGAACCGGTGCTTCCAGTCCGACCATTTGGATGGCTTGTCCAAGGTCATAAGGTATTTGGGCTGGGTGGTCAAGGTATACCAGGCTCTCCAGCCGCCTGGGCTCCTACTCAAGTAATGCATGTGGGCAAACGCCTCCCAGCCGGGGTTGAGGCCCTGCATCTCGCAGGCGGCGATATACCCTAAAATATTTACCCATGAGTTGGGGGTTAATTGCCAGAGACCTAGGCCATACCCCCTAAGTATGGCTTTTATTGTGTCGTGGAGAGGGAAGCGGACTCCGGCCACGAAGGCCGCCTCGTAGCACCCGAACCAAGCGTTCGCGTTCGGTTGTCCATCCTCCCACCATATTGTTCCTAGAGCAGCCGGGATTTTTATTGTATAGTCACCCCCCAGCGGCCGCCGTTTGATAAAATCTGGCAGCGCAGCCCGCATGAGCTCGCGGTCCTTAGAGGAGACGGCGATCATGAGAGGATCGTTCCTATTATCCCAAGAAGGCCTCTCCACCTCCTCGCTATCCTCAGATTCGGTTAAGTAGCTGCTACTGCTACTTTGAACGTGACCGGCATCAGAGCCGGCTGGGGAGTTGGAGACCTCCTTATCAGAGCCTACCTGCTCTCTGGTCTCCTGGAGGGGAGCAGTCTCTTCGTTTAAAATGCTATCACCCGGGGTGCTAGGAGCGCCCCCGGGTGAGCCTCTCTGCTCTACCTCTCCTTGCTCTACTTCACCGCCTGAAGCTGGGACCTCAGGCGGCTGCTCATCTGAGCTCCCACTTCTGTAGTTGGGATCTCTGGCAGTAGACCGGATTCTGGCCATTGTGTCCTGCACAGACACAGAGTCGGTCGATATGGGTGTTGAAAAAGGGTTGTCCCAAAGAACAGAGGCGGCAGACCCAGTTCTAGACTCAGCCGTACTAATAAACCGGCTGAGTTCACAGCTAGGTTCCGGGTATGGGTATAAGGGGTCCATCTACTTATGGGACCAATGAACAAAAATGCGAGTAAAAGACTCAAACGGAAATACATGAAAAAGCTAGAAAGAATAGAGACGGTACCTAGAAGAAAATCTGGAAATTCTTTGGGATGCTTGCGAAGACGCAGGCGGTTCAAAATCCGGCTGGGTTTCTCGGATTACCCTCTCGAAAACCTTTGGCTAGCTTGCAACGACCCAGACGGTCTGTAGACCGGTTGCTCTCAACGAATCTCAACTCCGAATGCTCTCAACTCTCAAATTGCCGGCTGCTCTCAAATTTTCAGAAATTTGGCAAAGTTTGTAAATGAGAGCTCGGGGGACATCTTTTCCTATTTATAGAATTTGTCCCAGAAGGTGAAAAGTCGTGACTCTTCGCCTTCTGCTTTTCCATCCTTCAAAAAGAATCTGAAGAGTTGTAAAAAAAAAAAAAAAAACCTTTCACCGGCGCCACGTGGCACCCTGCCACGTCAGCACCAGTGAGGGGCAAATGTTTGGGGTAAAAATACCCTAAACACGTGGCCCAATGGCCTAGTGACACGTGGCATCCATCCGTTGGTCAGCAGGGCTCCAATCCTCTGCTGACACGTGTCCTCTAAACCCTAAAAGGGAAACCATCCCTTCCCCACTATAAATAGTGGAAGGACCCTCATTAATGGGAGGCTGGAACATTTGTTGTTCACATTGAATACTCCTCAAAAAGAAAAACACTTACCCCGAGCAATATTAATTGCAGAATTCTCCCATTACGCGAGAAGTAACTTCTACATTACGTGCATTCTACCTCCCGTATCTTTACTAACTTGATCGTCGGAGGCGGAGCTCCTACCCCCAGGAGTCTTCGTGATTTTGCAGGCACAGGCGTCGAAGGGCATTCTTGGAATTGTAACTCTCCCGCAGGACACATCAAAAAACCCCGAAACACTATACATAGCAACACCAATCACTCACATGTCATTGTAAGTAGCTCTAGTATCTGTTCCAAACAATACCCCAGAATAATCTTAATAACTGCTTTCTTAAGAGTTTGTTGTGGAAACCAGCTCCCAATTTATTTCCCCCAAACCCACCTGTGTCGTGACTAGGAAAATGATTCTACAAAAAGTCCAAGCATAATAAGCATTAAATATAAAGTACATATAAGATTTTAAATAAAAGCCACACAGCACTGATTTCCGCTCTTAATCTAGGCATTCAAAATTAAGAACAGCAAAATTAGTTTTGATAGCGATAAGAGTAGCTGGATTTTGCAAACAGCTAGAGCAGAGGAAATTGAGAGAAAATAATATAGGTCAAGCAACCAATCCAAAAATGATAAAACATAAGGTAAAGATCACTCACTAGATTAGTAGGCGAAAAACGAGTATTTGCATCTTTCGTAGCATAGAAACGATCTAACAGCTTCTTGATGTGATCATGCATGGTTGCATCAGTACCAATTCCTGCCTATATGATGGCCATGATGCATAATTAATGATTAAGAATATATATATACATCATGTAACATTATAAATCAACAAATAGATTTAACGTATATAAGTTATACTATTAATCTCACACACTTTATCCATGCAGCTCAGCAAATCAGCTTCACTTAAGAGCGGAGGTGGTCTGGTCACTCCTGAATCTAAAGTCAACGTAGTTGGAGTAAACTGCAAAAGGAAATCTCAAAGTAATGATAACATTTTCAGGTAACATAAAGGTGGAAACCATTTCTTAGCACCATGGTTGCCTGATTGGTAGATAGACATATAAGATATAAAAACTTCCAATAGTCATTAAACTAAATGATTTCCTTCCTATCATGAAATGACAACAATTAGAAGGGATCGAATATGATCTTCTAAAGCGATTCTACTGTACCATAATAATTGTCACAACTAATTCTGATTCAGTTATGCCCTTATTTATTCTTAGAGGTATAAATGTCCGATGCTCCAATCATTGTTATGGGAGCTTTGGGTTAGATATTATTACCACTAACACTGAATACATTATTTTTAGGCCCCTGATATATTAAACATAACGGTTTGAAATTTTTCTTATTGGAAAATTAAGCATTTTAATGTGGATCATAATTATTATGTCTTTTTCCTTCCATTTAATTAATTTCGGAAATAATTAGTAACTAGCAGATTTTGTGAGAAGAAAGGGCATAGGGAGTTATTAGTTTATTACCATCCTGGGAAAGATTGTAATGGGAATCTGATGACCTTTCTTCTCACGAAATCTGCAAGTCACCAGATTCCCATCACAATTGGAGACAAGATTGGAGATAGAATTTACAAAGATCTTACGACATAATAGGACTCTTGTTGAATGCAACTCATCACTAGAAGGTGAAGTGCTTGAGTAAAATTCCCCAGCCTTGCCTAATATCAAGATAGAAGATGAAGCCAAACCCATTACTGATGGACCCATGAGAGTACTAAGCATATTAATTTTTCCAATGACTGCTGACTCATATCAGTTTACAAACATCCGTCAATCTGTTTCATATCACCTTTCACTTTAAAAATACCTTAAAAGTACGATAAGGAAAGGTCTTGAACCTTGAATTTCTTTCAAAAAGATAAACTAAAAAGAATTCCCCTCATACCTCCTCTCTTGAAATCACAGAATATCAAGCTGCCTCTTGGCAAGAGCCTTAAGCATAAGTCATGGTGCTTGAAATAAAACTCTGAATTAAACGACAATCCTCCTTGAGAATCAAAATGACAAATACCTTTCAACCGCATGATAATATGAAACTCCCAAATTTCATATTTATTTTCTCAAGAGTGCTCAAACAACCTAACTTAATGAAAATTATAATCATCTAGCTTCAAAATTACTCCTACAGTCTTACACAGTAGGGAAAACCCTTTCTGACATCACCCCCTGTAAAACCGATCATGCAATCTTTTTTGGGCTAATGTAACCAAGGCTTTCAAAATTACCTAAGAACAGCTTTTCATAAAAGGCTCACAACTCTTTGAAAAGCTATTTTTCCTTTTCGGCTTCTAGAGCCCAACAACACCAAAGTAAATACGTAGTAATTAACATATGCCAATTTATGATGAAAATTTTCTTCCTTCTGACAAACACTCCATCCCATCGAGATACAAAGCAATATTTCAAAAAATTTAAAACTCATCAAATTATTATCCAAACCTCCATCCAAAATCACCTACTTCAAGTGCATCTTAATTCTCATCAATATTTCATCTTTTTATTGATAAATAAGCTGGAAAAAATCTCAGCGATCTGTGGACAATACAGAAAATCTAATGATTGATCTATAAATCCTTCAAAGTAACATATTCAGCTATCTTAATATGTTCATGACAGAACCTATAAAACAGTTGATATAAAATTATAAATGCAGGATGACTTTGAGACATATCTGGTGAAGATTGAAGAGCAACCTGTTGTCCAAACATATAAGTTGGAATCATAGAACCTCCCCAACTTTCAAAGCGGTAGACATCCAAATAATTTTTCTGCAAAGCAAGTAAGCAGGACAGTTAGTAATGAAAGAAATTTTATTGTCAATATCATAATCAAGACACGTGTCTCATACCATATTCCAGCTAGCTACCAAAATTTACATGAAAAGAGTTGAAAAAAATATTGCTTGTAGAAGCAAACATGTCTACATCACCAATCAAGTCAGTAAGATTCAAGTATGCTCAATATATCATTAGAGGCCCTTGCCAGGATACGGATTATTTGAAAATGGTATATTAGGTCAGCATAAGTTACCAAGCTCAACACAAAGAGTCAAAATACTTTCTCTTGCACCAAGCCACCAACTAAGCTCTATTTTTACTATACTCCCTCTGATTCCGAAAGATCTACCCTTTTACTGTAATCCCAGTTGGAAGTGTTCAAAATTTGACTACAAATTGTCACTAATATGCAACAAAAAACATAATCACGTGGGGTGTCTTGCTTAAATCTTCTTAATGTGCAGTTTCCAATAAGTAACTTTTAATTTTTGATAAATTAAAAATACTGACGATTAAAGATGTGTATTGAAGAGTGTGAAAAAAAATGTGTAAATCAAAAGAATATAGAGGGAATATGTGTTAGTGTGTTACACAAATGTAATCTCTCTGAGCATGTACGTCAATGTAACTCTCTCCGTATCTAAATAAGTGATCACTAACTTTAAATGGCCGTATCTGAATAAGTGCATCACTTCCTTACATGGAACTATCTCTCTATATTATATAATATCTTTCCTCCCACTAGCCCCACTTGCTATTCTTTATTATTTCTCTCTTCCCATGATCCCCACACATACTCACATTATCAATTCTTAGAATAAAATACCCTCCCATGCATTTTATATCAATATATATAATTGTCAATTTCATCCACTTAAACATTAAAATACCCACTATTTACAAATATCTAAAACTTTGTGCACCAACAAGCGATGCGCTTAAATAGATATGGGGGGAGTAATTTTTTTATTATCAATGAGTATTATAAAATAGTGATATTCAAAAACTATATATTGATACGATTCCAACAAATACCCACAACAATGATCAAAGTGGATAATGTAAATAGTGCAAAAAATCCAAACTGAGGCAATTAGAAATAATAGAGGGAGTAAAACATAATAATTTCATCAAGGTGCCGTGAACACTTTAAGGCCAAAGTTAAATATGATGTTTAAAAAGGGGGAGAGGAAATAAAAGCAATTTTGGCATAAATTTAATTAATCATTGTCATCTTGTGAAGTTAAAAATTGATCTCCCACTTACATCAATAAGAAAGAGGCAACAATGTTTATTTGAATGAACTTCGGGTTCTATAAACTACAGACAATTTGAGAAGGACTAACCAAACTAAGTTTTACAGGCAATTACAGCATCCGAACGTCACCTACTGCCTAGCATGGCGGCTTTATCTTCTTGCTAGTAACTAGAAGCGCAAGCTGGAAATATCATATTTAAAGCTATTCCTTGTATCTAGGTCTAAATATTTTAAAGAAAAATGAACTACAAACTTACAGCAAGGATCACTCTTCCAGATGCAGAAAACATTTCACCAGCTATATCAACTTCTACTGTAGTCTCAGCGCTCACAGCTGGCTGTGAGACACAAGCCAGGAAATGGCGAACAACCAGCTCATATACTTTCTGCAAACATGGGAGCACGCAAAAATCAGAATAATGTATTTAAATAAATAATAAAGCTTCAAAGCCACCCTTAAATAATTACACATCAACGTTCACATTTTTGAGAATAGTGAAAAGACAAGTTTTAAAATCAGTGCATGCAATTTATAACAAGATTACTATTACAATTTCAAACAATAAGGTAATAATGTAATATAAGGGAACTAACATAGTGGTCCTGGCTCCATCCAGACTCCCCAGCAGAAAACTTTGTAGGATGAATTGGTGGATGAGCTTTGTCATCATGGCCACCACTACCAGGATTTTTCCAAAGATCTGCCTCAGGGTCCAATAACCGTTGTGCATAGATACCCCATACTGGATGCGCTTGTTGTTCTTGCACAATTGCCTAAATTTTGGAGGTTAAAAATTTCTAATCAATTCATAAACAAAATCAAAATTGCAGAAAGCAAAGCAAGAGAAAGAAACAATACGTTGGTGCATATGAAGATGTCATGTTTCTAGCGAGAAATGATGACTTAATAAAAAATAAAAAGATAGATCAGAGTTACCAACATGCAGATCAGTCCTAGCCGAGAAAGAGTCCGTCTCAGTTCGAGGATAGCTAATGAAACCAGATTGGTATAGCTCTTCTGCCACCTGAGAAGACAAGCAGAAATTTTAGAAAGTAAATGATGTGATTTTGTAGACAATAGAACCAGCATACAGTCACTAATCTAGCAAACATGTTTTACTTCACCGTTTAGAGGGTCCATGATACAGCATAATACATTGGTAAGACTAAAAAATTGGAAAGTTCTAAGATGACTTTGAACTTGCACATCCACACTTCAGACCAAAGCAGCCAAGAAAGCACTCATTTATAGCAGAATGGATATGTTAGTAAATCTTCAGGGATGAAATATTCAAAATGAATAAGAATATGGGGAAGTTTACATCTGAATAAAAAGATAATGGAATTTTAGGCAGGCCAACAAAAAGTGTACAGCTTAAGTCCTAAGGAGCTCGTGAGCCAGGATTATAGTCATACCAGGGATCCTATTTCAAACCAGAATACTTTGTCCAAAGAAAAAGAGACAAGCAAGTCATTCAGTTAAATATTTGAGTGCACCTCTATTTTTAATTCCATGTAGTAGTAAATTGGATGTAAAGTGCAAATGCCTTCTTGACATAGTGGTCATGATAAAGATTAATGGAAATATTAGCTGGTAGTAAAATAAAATGTCATCAACAATACAGCGACAAAAAACAAATTAAGCACATTACTCAACTATGACATGAACAATAAAACAAATCTAGAAAAAATATTTGATTAATTCTCCCCTTTAACAGACAATCCTTCAAAAATTTCCAGCCATTTCTGTAAATTATATTAAGTTTGCAGTATTGCTACTCTAATCTCTTAAATTAGCAGGATTGAAATATTATTTGACAATACATTTCTTCTAAGATCAATTATGATAAACAGTACTCCTGGCCATACGTACCTTCATGGTGTGTTCTGAACTCAATCTGAAGTATCGTGACGCACGTTTTTCAAGTTCAATTGTACTTAACGGGTAAGGAGGATATTTTAGTTTTTCCTGCTGTCTAACCATTGTAACCTGGCATTAGCATTTTGTGAATAATCAGCTCATGAAACTGTTGAGTGCAACTTAATTCTAAACAGTTTGCTACGAAAGCCAATTAAAATCATTTTACTCACAGTAGCAATTGGTTCCTCAACACACATCTCATAGATGATGACTGCACAGGTATAGTTGAACATATGGCCACGCCTGTAAAACAGTTCAAGATTTAATCTTTGATAGTTATAAATTTTACACAGAACGACAAAACTAGAGAGATGCTGACAAATTTTACATCCAACTGAAATTTGCAATTCCTTCCTCTGAGTTGTGAGAACAATTGATAGTCCAAAACTCTTCCGGTTCATGTGCTTGTATTTCCCAATACCTTTCCACAACAAAGCCAAGTGTTGGAAACTACAAATGACAATAGAGATTCTATGTCAAAAAAATTATAAGGAGAGGGAGAGGGAGAGGAAGAGGGGGAGAAGAGGAGGCTGACAAAAGGACATGCATACATGCGAGATGACCAATGGAATAGGGATGAGCTAATGCAGCAACAGGTGGCACTACCTGACATGGACCATAACTTAAAACAAGACTTCTGTCCTCAGTAGCAATATTGAAGTTGAAAGCATCTTTAAGAAGCATTGTCTGGAACCTGGTGAAAGAAGCACCAATACGTAGATCTATCTCCTGCAGAAGCAATGAAAATAATATCTGTAAAAGGGTATAGAGAGAAGCTACAAACAAACAAAAAAAAAAGGAACACTACGAGAATGACCCAAACGCATTACTTGGCGATTTCAACCATACAGTAGCTATTATGAAGGTCATAAAAAACAAGAAGAGCTTTGAGTTTGAACTTCACATAAGTCTGGCTCCCCCGATTAAACAAGGGGGAGAAAAAAGAAAGCCAGTCCAGAATCTGCAACTACGGCTCACAGGCATCCATGTCATTAGACTGTTCACTATGTATGTCCGGATGTAATAAAAACACCTAAATAATCTTCATTCCAACATCAGCATGTAGTTAATTCTTTCTAACTCTTTCGTTATATGTTCAATTGATTCGCAGCACAACAAGTCAACAACCAGTAAAAGGGTTACAAGCCCTTGCTCAAGCAGAAATATATAGGAAGACCAGCAAATAGGTACAAGTTGTTCAACAACATGCTTCAATTCCACCCACTCGCGTTTCCAATAACACAAAAACAAATGAATAAAGCATTTGAAAATCTGTATAACATTGAATTTACAAAACATTGAAGTTTGAAAGAAATACACAAAGAAACAAACCTGCCTTGCATCTACAGCCTCGGCAAATGATTGATTTGGTCGAACAAGGTTCTGTACTGCTTCATGGATATCCCTAATAACTCCAAGATGACAATCCATTAGTGTAAACCCCAGGGTATAATAAATCCCTGTAAGGGAACATATTATGGAGGTTCATACCTGTCAATCAAAGCAGAAAAGCGAGCCCTCCATGTATTCAAATTGGGGTTAGCTTCTGCGCAAACCTCAATTACCTCAAACGCAATATTTTCTCCTTCCCTATCACAATCAAGCCACAGTATGAGCCACTGGCAGCCCCTTGCTTCCTGTTGCAGTGTTCTCTTGATGTCCAGCTTGTCCTAAATCATAAACAACAGTTATGACCATTAACCATTCATCCTAGAATTACATAAGTTAAGAATTAAGAGAACTATGGAAGCATAACTTAGAGCAAAAGTTGAACAAGGCAGGATACCTCTATATATATCATACCAACTGTCTATAACTAAAATCGATTTAAATTCATCTTCTCCTAATTCTCATAAGACCGAAACCTACATACTGAATCAAGTATTCCAAATAATTTGTCTAACTCGAATCCTATAAAAGCCCCACTATAGAGCAATTGCCACACATACCTTTCAAATCCAAGAGTTGCAAACTCCACATACCCAACAAAAGTTAATAATAAACAAACCAATGCTATTTTTTTCATGAATAGGGAGTCACAAAGGCCATAAATTTAGACGAGATTCAGTTCCAGAGTCTCGGAACCAACCCCGACACTTTAACCAACTAAGCTAGTTAGCATCCGCGTTATATTGCACAATGCTACTTGAAACCAACTAAAACATTTACCAACTAAGATAGTTAACATCCGCGCTATTTTGCACAAATAACAATCACACTCAACCTGAATTCACATAATCAAATTAAATTAGAGGATTTCGGGGGCAAACCTGAGGAACAGTTTTATGAACGGGAGCTTGATAGAGGTCACTAGGATCACACGAATGCCATTTTCGATACCGCTGATCAAACTCGAGCTCCATTAAATGACCGGTGACGGAAGTGAAGAGCATATGAATAGGTTGACCTCGAATTGTGTAGTCGAATTCGAAGATTTTGTTGTACCTGGATCTTCCTTCTCTAACCCTAAGTTGATTTCTTGACAAAATTCCGGCGACGGCTTTTGCTACTGACGGCTTCTCCGCCACATTTAAAGCCCTAATTTGGCGGTTTCCGGCCATCGGAGAGTCGCGGCAGCGAGGTTTAGGGTTTTGTTGGAGAAAAATAAAATTGAGATTATGAAATTGAGTTGGGTGTTTAGTTTAGAGGGTTCCCTTTGATTTTCCCGCCTTTTTCATATCGTAAATTCGTAATTTATACGTGTACTTGTTTATATGGAAAAAAAAAATAGTGTAATTTTGAAAATGTCTGGGGATATGTTAGGCAGAGTAGGGCAGAGCAGATTTCAGTATTATTATTATTATTTTCTCCGTTTTTTTTTATTGCATCATAGGGTTTTAGAGGCAAAATTTGGTAGTGGAAAAAAAGTAAGAGAGAGAAACGTAAAAATACAAAATTGTCCATGTAATGTAAGATAAAATAAAAAGTAAGTATGAAAAAGTAAGGGTATGTTGGGTATTTGCAGTGTGAACATAGATATTTTTTATCCTAAAAAGGAAATGATGCAATGATAAGTAAACTTCCTAAAGTAGTAAGTGATGCGATAAAAAAAAACGGAGGAAGTATTAAATATTACTATTATCTTTAAATACTAATTTTTATTATTATAATTATTATTATTATCGCATTATTATTATTATTATTATTATTATCGCATTATTATTATTATTATATTATTAAATATTAATTATTATTATTATTATCTTTAAATATTAATTATTAGTAGTTTAATCCCATATGTTGCACGGATTAAGTAGTTATTATATGTTTAAATAATTGTCAATTTTATATTAAAAGAAAGTGTAATCATAATCTCACTAATTAATGTATTTATTTATTAGTTTTGGAATATAGGAGGAAAAAAAAAGAAAAAAAAAAGGATGATGTCAATGGTAGTTTAGGCGGGAAAATTATTAATAAGAAATTGACATGTGTCCCTTGTCAACCTGTTTTGTTTTAGTAATAGTTAATAGATAGATTATTAAATATTAATTATTATTATTATTATTTTTATTTTTAAATAATAATTATCATTATTAAATATTAATTATTATTATAAAATATTAATTATTCTTATTGTTTTTAAGCAGAGCAGAAGATTTCAGCAGAGCATAAAAAAAAGGGCCTTGTAGTAGTAGATGATCAACAAATTTAAGTGGTTAAAGTTTTAGGGATTGAACTTAAAATTTTGAAATTAAATGATTTATTCAGTTTTTTTTTTTTTTTTGGAATTACTTGTATCATTTTTAAAAAAAGTACAGTATAATATCTTCTTATTTACATAAATTAGACACTTACAAAATGACAAGAATTTGGTGTTTACAAACACTATGTTAAAAGCTTTTTGCAACTAATTTTGTCATATATGGCTGTATGCCTGTATAGAAGTAAAGGTTACTTTTTTTTTTTTCTTTGAAAACAAGTAAAGGTTGACTTATTTTCTTCATGAAAAAATTATTTGGGCTCTTTGTCGAACTTATTGATACTCATTATAAGTCTCGTAACAATTTTTAAATCATCATTTGCATAAAGATAAGTTTCTTCAGGTCTCTCAATGCACTTTGAAGTATCTAAGAGGGTTGGATAAATGTTGTGTGACTTGAATTTTTGTTGAAAATAATAAGTCTTATTTGCCAAACTTTTTGAAACATAATTCATATGGCTTTTTATAAAGTGTAAAAAAAAAAAAAAAAAAAAAACATATGTGACTTTTTTTTTAACTCTCACTTATCATATTTATCGGGTGTTTTTGAAATACGAGTAGTGCAAGATACCCCTTGTGAAATTATACAAGGAAGCAATTTGTAGAAAATCAAAGTTTAACCTGATTAAAAAAATCATACTACTTTTTAAAAAAAAAAATTGTTTTATTAGTTATGTAAAAAAGTGATAATTATTCTTTGTTTGAAAAATGAGTAATCATAATTTCAGTAATAGTTTAGGTGGGAATTTTTTTCATAAGTTATTGACATGTGATTCATGATGTTAGCATGGCCTATTTTAGTAATAGTTAATACTGTAGTTGTTTTAAGGTGATGCCAAAAACCTATGATCAAATTTTGTTTGCATCATCGTCTTTGCAGCTTTCTCTACAGAGAAAAAAAAAAAAAAAAAAAGCTAATGAAGTAGTGCAAGATACCAATATAATAGTAAAACCATATAAGCAAGATATCAAGTGGAGCATTTGTAGGCAAAAATCAATGAGCATTTGAAACTTTGAATTATCAAATTCTTAGACACAATTTTAATCATAGGAATGTTTATGTGACCATTCTATTTACCATATTAAGTCATTCACTTATATTACAGTATAAAAATAAGAATTATGATTTGTATAAAACTCAAACCCGTAACCTTAACTCCTCAAATGTCTAACACTAAGACTTATTCAACAAGTTATGCCATATCATTTTTTTTCCTACAAATTATCTACACAATATAGAAAAAAAATTGCTAGATGGATGCAATCAAAATATAATAATACGTAATTATTGTAATTATTTTTTGGAGGCATTATTTGAGCTAAAATAATTATTATAAAGAAAAAAAAAAAACTCTGTAATATGCTAATAAATAATTTAGCAATGAAAATTTAACACTATCTATTTATCTATTGAAATCATGATTAAAAATTGAAATCTTCAAAAATAAATCGAGCATAATTAGATATGGGTATCAAAATTCCAATCTTAATTAATAATCCAATTAGCCCCCACACCCACATGAATTCACCATCTCTCCACAAAATATTCCATCCCAAGAATGATTGGAATGAGCATAGCAAGACCAAACCAAAACCAATAATGTGACATATGGAATCTTTAGCTACCTTTGATGGTAGGATAGGTGTCATGGTCTGGACCCATCTTTGGCTAGGACCCACTTAGCTAAGCTAGTCTTCAAGCTCAAGCTTCAAAAAATATTCAACTTTGGCTGGCTCAGCAGTCACACCATCTGGAAAAAAAAAAGAGGAGAGAGAAAAAGAGAGGATTTCAAGAAAAGGAGGGATGACCATTCTAAGGCTAGAAGTGGGCTAGTTTTTGCTGACTATCTATCTTCTATATTTGGAATAGTGTATTTAGTTAACGTCTAAAACAGATTACTTTTCTTTCAAATTTTCTTTTTTTTTTTTGGTTCATTTTTTCACTTCACACATTTTGTTCTTCCCTAATTTCATGGGGTTCGTATTTTGTTTTGATGGGTGTATGAAATCTCTCATTTTTCTTGTGAGATTTTGTATATTGAAGAATTAGAGTAAGAATTTGAGCCGAAGTTTCAATCTTTTTTGAAATGGGTGATGAAGATTGAAGTTTGTGAGGTAAATTCATTTCGAATTGGTTGTGTATTTTTGTTGGTTTTTTGGATTTGATTGGTTGATTATTGAAAATCCCTCTATGAAATGTTACTATATTTAGTTAATTAGCGCTCATTCTGTTACTGTTGCTTGCCCAAATTGGTGTTTTGATGCAAGAATTGGCCAATTTGGGAAAAATATGCGTCAATTTTAGGTTAAATAAATCTATTTTTGGGGAATTTCTAGATGGGTATTACAATTCTCAGCTTATTTGTTGGTTGATAGTCTTGGTCAATGGTGATAGTCTGTATTTCTGGGCAATTAATTTGATTTGAGAATGTTGATTGATACTTGATAGAGGTTTGGACACATGTTGAGTAAAGAAATCAGATTGTAGTTAGATACCGAGATTTCGGTTATCAGTCACTAGCAAACTGTTATGTCTACTGGAGCTTGTGGTTCTAGCTTGCTAGTAGATCTGCCTGATGATATACTTGTTATAATTGGAAAGTCTCTTTCGCCAAGGGACATTTGCTATCTTGGTCTGTGTTGTAGGAGTCTGAATTCTCTTGCAGCATCAGATAAGATATGGCTCACTCAGTGTGAGTTGGTTGGGATTATATCCCCCAAAGATCTTGTTGAGTGGCGAAAGGCTGTTCTATCGTATAAGGCCATTTGCCGGTTTTTAATCAGCGTGAAGCCATTGTTTGGAATTTGGGTTCACCAGAATCCGGAGCTTGGAAATGTCGTTTATGTCATGCCTGGTTTTGTTTCGGTGGTTGGTTGTCGGATTATCCCTCAAGAGCTAGGTCCTTTAGGTATAGAGGGTCCTATTCTTTGGGCGCCTGTCTTTGAGGTGATCTGTGATGATAGTGGGGGAACCGTGTTTATGTTACATGGAAGAGATAAGGATCGTGATTATATTTATCCTGGTTCAGTTAAGTCGGTTGAGAAGACTTGTAATGTGTTATTGCTTGAAGTTGAGCCTATAAAAGGGAAAAAGAGGGGTAACTTGGTGCGCAGTGAGAGCTTTGATAACCATTCGGATGGGGAATCAAGTAGGAAGGCTTGTAGATCAGACGGTAGGATTTCAAAGTCACAGAGGTTTGCTGAACCAAGTGTGCTAACAGTGCCTTTCAGCAAGTTGTCATTTGGAGACAGGAGGAAATTACTTGAAATTGTTACCAGCCAAGTCCGCATGCGAGCTCCTGGATCAGCTTCTGCACCTCTGTTTCCATGTTTGAGGAGCGATGGAGATAGCTTTCCCATAGACATAGTGCACTTAATTGAACGTCGAGCAATGCTAATTAAAATGCATGGGCATGGAGAGGACAACATTGATGGGATTGATAATCATGGACCACCTAGTCTTCCTAATCAGATAGATTTGAGTGAAATAAAGAAGACTCTTGATCGTTCAAGTGGCTTTCGTAATTCTCTTAGTGGAGACGATACTCGCACACAGAGTGCAAAGAAGAAAACACTTGGCGACTATGTCAGAGACTATACTCGACAGATGCTTAGGAAATCAAGCTCATTGAACAGTAACCGTGGTGTTAGGAAGAATAGCACTACCAGCAGTGAAAATAAGCATGCTCAACTTCACGATTTCCTGAGCTCAGGAGATACAATAGGACTGACATTACATGCGTCAACCATGAAGTTGTCTTCATATCGAGCATGGCCAAATATGCATGATAGTCGATTTGCTTTGTACAAATTGCCTATTCGAGTACCTACAGTTGGTCAAGAGTATGCTGGTTTGTGGGGAGGAACTTTTGGCTGGCCTCCAGGAAAGCCTACTGATGACAAACCTGGAAAGGCTTTATTCTTTCTTGTTCTTTCTTACTACGAAGAGTCACCAGGGCAAAAACTACTTATTGCTACCAAAATATTAGAAGGCACCCATTATGTTCTGCATCCAAATGGTTCAGCTATGTTCATTGTTAATGTAAATGAACCTTCAGATGAGCCATTTCCTTGGGATTCAGGCGCAGATGCCCTGCCTCTTACTGTTAAGCAATCATTTTCTGGTGACGGTATTGCTAATGGTTATGGGTTTAGATATCCTGGCTCAAAGCCTGGTTCACTTTTTGTTCTCCAAGATGGAATGCTTGCATTTCTCTGGAAAGAATCCAGGGCTATTTTGACATTGCAGAGGCTTGATTTGGAAGAGCTTTTAAAGAAAGGCGAGAGAGTACCTGTTCTTCCGCCTATCACCAACTTTTCTTATTTAACAAAGTCCTACTCAAATGTGTTTGCAGGCTTTGCCAACATGACAACTTCTGTAACTTCACCAAGGTATGCCACATAGATAATTTTATGCTGTTACTGCGTATGATATGCTTTACGATAAACCTCTAGCTGCTGTTCTTTTAGAAACAGAAATTCATTCTGTATACTTAAAACACCTTGTTCTTGCAAAAGCTAGTAGAACCTAATTATGCATACTTATAACTATCTTTATTGGTAAAGTTGTTTTCTAATGCCTTCAGTTCAAGTGTATGTTTAACTGTCCTTTATTAGTTTATTTAGAGTTCATTTGAGGACATGAGGTTACTGTGAATTAATTTATGTTGAAAGGGGCAAAATCAATTTTGGAGATCCACAAAGGACTCCTCAAGTTGAGCTGTCTATATGCAAAAGAAGAGTTGATCTGTGAGCAACAAGAGATATAACTTATGCCCTGTGGGTGTTAGATTTTTTTTTCTTTATTTGTCCATAGTTGTATCATACATTTTGACCTTGAAATTAATGTTAGTACGTGTAGCTCCTAGTGAATGTTCTTGTTTTAGGTTTGTACTGTCTCTTGATAGGGGCCAGTATTACCATCTTGTAGTGACAGGGTAAGAGAATTATCAGCCAGAAGTAAGATGCAGGGAAGTTTGTAATGAACGGCGTTGTTAATTTTTTCAAGATTCTGGAGCTTGAGGATTGAACCTTGTTTTAGGTGGTTTGAAGCAATATGTATGGTCAATACATCTGATGGATTTATTTGAGTGTATTAGAGTGGGTTAGCAACCTTGTTTGACATAGTTGAAAAGTGTATGCCTTTACTTTACACACACACGCTTTCTTTTAAAAGATAGATATTGCCCACCATTTCCATTGTCAATAATTGAGTTTCCAACATTTCTTAACAGGTAAATAAATACAGCCAAGTATTTCACCCTAACTCAAAAGTCAAAACCAAGGAACGTGAATTTTTATTGTAGAAACAACGACTTGGGGTAAGTTGCATTAGAAGCACCGCAGTTGCAATTCCATTTTCACCTGTGAACATTTAATTGAGCATATTCTGAAGGAAAGTGAGTAGATCTTTATGGTTACCCTGTTTCTGTGATATTTTTTGAAAAAATGGTGAAGGGAGAAGAATAGAGAGGGGACGCCAGTTAGCATGTTTTTTTTAATAAGGACGATAGAAAATATGATGCAGAGTTTGACTGGTACATACATTAGTATTGCCCTTGACTTTTCAAGTCTTCATCACTGAAAATTGGTCACTGAATTATATGTCAAAGCATCCGAACTAAGGAGGAGGGGGTGCAGTGTGGTGCTTGGACTTCTTTACCAAATCAATCATAATTCAGAATCTGTCATCTAGACTTGGGAACGTGTTGGATACAGGTACGTATCAACATATCCTCGCCATAGCACAAAATTAGGGAGATACAGGACACTGTCCTCAAATCAGATGGGGATGTGGGGACAATATCAAGAATAATCTAGTTATACAAAATGAAACAAAATTTATTAGGTAAAACCGTTAACAGGAGCCCTGGCCAACAAAGCAGCTTGGTTCTATGGACCAAAGTATTGATTTTGTAAAAGTATTGGTTGATGGATCCCCTTCATGCACCTTGCTGCAATGCTGCATGTATTAGGGGACACATCAATGCTATAAGAGTATAAGCCTATAACAACATTAGGGTTGTGCATTTTAGTGTATGAATTGGTCAGTTTAGGGCCTTTGGGCAACCCAAAGTTCACAGGAAAAGTAACAGCTGAAACCTGAACCAGAAACTAAAACCATACAAAAACCAAAATTTTTGGTTTGGTTATTTGTTTCAGTTTGGGTTTCTCGGTTTTCAGGGTATTTCGTAATTCGTACAGCCCTAGTACTGGGTCAACTTACTCACTCTGTCACTTTGCTTGGCCCCTGACTCCCTGTATACGTGATTCGTCTGTATGACTGCCCTACCACCATGTATATTTTTGTCAATTGATGCTACAATCACGACTTCATCTGTTATTGCCTTATTGGTATTGCTTGGTATCTTCCACACTATTTAGCAAGCTCATCATTTTACTAATGTTTCCTTTCCTTCCTCTATCTGCAGGAGAAATCCTTCATAGAATGCTTTGAAGACTATGTACAGAAAATAAGTTCACAGCCATTGGTTTTGCTCAACCGATAAGTTTGGATGTTTTGAAGCTCTCGGCAGCCATATTGATACTAGGCTTTTTCTCATGATACTGTAATAATCATAAAGTACCTTCAAAATAGAGTTTGATTTATACTTAATTGTGTAAAAGTTGAGGTAGTATTCAAAAAAATCATGAAAAATGTATACACAAACATGGTTAATATTGCTTAGGTAATTAGCATAGTACCTTAAGACTAGTATGTTATTTTGTTGTCTGTCTGATAACTTACATTTTCCTCCATTGTTAGGAGAGCCTTTCATGTCATTGTTCTTGATAACAAAAATTAACTAGTATGTGAGAGGTTATTAATTGAAGTACTGTCAAAGTCAAACATTCAAACTTAAGCTACTTTTCAATATCAAGGGAATGAAACTCAAGCTACATTTCATTATCATGGAAAGGAGCATTTACTGCCTGCCCTAAATGTGCAAAAAATGTGATCATTAACCATTAGTATATGTAGTTATATGATGCACTCACACTCAACTTACCCTGTCCAACCCAAATGAGAACCGATATTGATTAACCCAGCGGAGATCAGAAATGAATGAAGAGACTCTGCAAGGGATTAAATCAATCAAACAGTGATAATTTAGAGAGAATAGCAGAGAAAAGTTTAGAGAGAGAAAGGGGGTTTTGTATTGATTTTTGCATAAAACTTCTTACATCCAAAACTGGCTTAAATAGCCTTACATTCACTGAATGAAAATAACAGAAATAATATAACAACTTAACAAACTCTTTACAAAATCCAATGCATCAGCATCTTTCTGTTACGCCAATATTCCCTTTCTCTAACAACCTGCCAACTCATCCTCTAGCTCATCTTTCTCCTTTTCTTCTTCATCTGCTAGCTCATCCTCCAACAATATAATCGTTGCAATGCTGCTTGCTTCAGTAATTCCCAATGTGCCCTGCTTTAGGCTGATGCTTGCATCATTTTAACACTTTGATTTCACGCTTACAAACACACAATGACGGTTAATATCTTGAATCAATCTGCAACAACATTTTTAATATGTATAAGAGATATGGTTACAAATAGTATATGGAGTAACAATTTAAGTCTTGCGGTTGGAAAATTGAAGAAAATACTACCTAAATATCACAAAAATGGTTACAGTTGCTTTTCAACGCTCCTCAATGCAATTATCTTGTTAAGCACACCAAAATTTATAAAATAAAAATGTACTCGTAATTACTATTATGAAACAAATAAAGTATATACTTGTACTAAGTTGTATCAAGAACAACATACTCCATAGCACACGATGATTGATAACTAGATAACCACATCAACACAATACAAAAGAGTTGCCTTAAATTGACTCGACTTTCTCTGCGACCTCCGCAAATTCACTTATGTGCATATCGCATTTAACATGCATCATACATTGATACATATTGGAACATGTCCGTGCTTTTCACGAGCAACCGAGCATATGCACAATAGAAATTGAGACGTTAGAAAGTCAAAACCTTAAAAACCTATCTAACATCCCAAATTAATAACTTGACTTCCACTTCCTAGTCACAATCATTATTTAACATTTAATCTAACCTCAAGATCTAAGATCTATCTTCCATTTCTTAATCAAATATTTAGTACGATGTACACAATACAATAATAATCAACACCTAATGATTTATTACACCCTCCAAAATAACCAACTTTGAACTTTCTAGTCCACCATGAAACCACCACAACTTCTCTCATATCTTCTCTCTCTCCTCTTCGTTCTTCTTCCCTCCCATTCTCTCTCCTCTTCGCCACCTCCGGCCACCGTCTGCATCATTGGAAGCGGAATCTCCGGCGCATCAGTCTCCCATTTCCTCCGCAAATACTCGCCGGAACCCTCGCCAATCGCCGCCATTCATGTCTTCGAGAAAAACTCCGTCGTCGGAGGTCGTATGGCTACGATCACAATTGCTAACAATACCTTCGAAGCTGGTGCCTCAATTCTCCACCCTAAGAATTACCATGCCTTGAAATTTACTGAGTTTCTTCAGTTGAAGAAGAAGGTTTCCGAAGATGATGATAGCGAGTCTTTAGGGATTTGGGATGGGGAGAAGTTTGTGTTTACGACGTGGAGTTCGAATTGGGGGTTTTCGATTGTTAATAAGGTTGTTTCGTGGCTTAATTCGTGTAAGCTTTTGTGGCGTTATGGATTTTCGTTGTTCAAAATGCAGAATTACGTTGAGGTAATATACTTTCTTTTCTAAAATTAGATAAGAGTTTTTTTTTTTTAAAATCGGTGCCGAATTTGTTGTTAGATACGGGTATGTGTCCAAGCGTTAAAATTTGAAGTGTCATGTACTCATGTGAGAGTGTCGAGGATTTAACACGGGTACTTGAAGCATAAGTGTAGAACTTGGACTTTGGTTCATCATTTGTTGGATAAATGTTGATTTATTTTATTACCTTGCTAGCTAATGAAATATACTTCTTTCGTGAATAAATGGTTAATGGCATGCTAATGAATTAGGTAGCTCTATAAAAGTCAACAAAGAAGTATTCTGATTTTGTGGTTTATAACTTTATATAGCCATATATGTATTTCTGTTCTGTTTATACAAACGAGTTTCTAATCAAAGAAAGAATAGCTTGAATGGGAATGAATTTCCTTCTCGACTTCTATTAAAAAACTCATAATTAGCGCAAAATCATGTATGCTTTTATACATTGCATTATTGTTTACACAGCTAATTGGGAGCTAAGTATCCTGAATTTGGGGATATAGTTCACTAAAACTGTGTTTGGAACTTTGGATAGCAATGGTGGAGGGAACTGGGAAGGGGTGCAAAGGGAAAAAGTGAGACAGATTTTAAATTTCCCTCCAAAAATTTCCAACTTTATAAGATATGTTCTACATAAGTGGAAATTGGACCCCTCCAATTGACCATTTTCCTTCTGCCAATTCGTATCTGATCAAAGGAAAGTGGATCCATCACTCTCCATTTAACACCTTTTGCCAATTCGTATCTGAACAAAGGAAAGTGGATCCATCACCTTCCTCCTCTTCCTTTGACATCCTCTCATCCAAACACATTGGAAGGTTTGCACAGTTCATGAGCTGATATGAGTATATGTTTTATGCAGCATGTTAAGTCTACAAAATTGTCTTTAATGAAGACGATTTGTGTTACACATCATTGCAAATTTTTGTTAAAAGTAGGTTGAGTGGGCTAGTTTCATTGTAGTTTGATGACTGCTCACTTGGGTGTTGGGATACAGCTCCTATCTTTTGAAATTAACCATAATCTTTTCTCATTCTCTTCAATAGCTTTTGATTTGAACTTCTTGTCTTCGAGGTGATGAGGTGTTCATCTGGTGATGGATACATCACTAAGTATTTTGGTTTTATTGCAGAGTATGCTAGATAATTTCTTGAAGTTCTATGAGGGTTTTGATACAAGGCCTGTCTTTAATGGTGTGGAGGAAATGCTCAAATGGTCAGGTTTATATAATCTCACCAGCCGAACATTGGAGGAGGAATTAATCGATGCAAACCTCTCTCCTTTACTTATTAACGAGCTTGTCACGGTAAGGATTGCTAACAACTACTAACAAATAATTTTCAGGATACCTTTTGGTTTATTAATGCTTTTTTTTTTTTTTTTTTTTTTTTTTTTTTTTTTTTTTGTTTTTTATCAAGCATGTAATGAAATCTGTCCAATTTTGTTTAAACTGTTAATGATTAACGTTTAGCTGATCATTTCTTGTTCATCTGTTTCCCTCACCATCAGTTTTTTTTTTCCTTTTCCTCTGTGCCTCAATTGGTGTAGGCTTTAGCTTATACTTCAGGATAGTGGAAACTCACACATTTGCTTAATAAGTCAATATATATTGAGCAAGCCCCTATACATTTGTTTGACTAGATATCTACATGAAAACATCCTTCCCCTATTTGGAGGCAGGTAATGCTGTCGTATGGTACTCCGTACTTTTATATTGGTGACAATTTAAGAAATGATTGTGAAACAGGGAAAACAGCTCTTTGTGCACATTATTTTCAGGACAATATTTTTAAAGTGGACATTCTTGTACAATCAACATTCAAAGTGAAATTAAGAAATAATGATATGAGAGCTTATGGTGAACCAAGCTTAGCTTGATTGTTATTGTTGAAACTTGAAAGTATTCAGAACATTTTTTATGTTAGTCTCATAGAGGCTAATTGGCTGATTAAATAATTCGCAGGTTATCACACGGATCAATTACGGTCAAAGTACCCGCATGAGTGGATTGGCAGGGGCAGTTTCCTTAGCAGGTTCAGGTGGTGGGTTGTGGGCAGTTGAAGGTGGCAATTGGCAAATGGCTGCAGGACTTATTAATAGTTCAGATGTCAAATTGCATCTAAATGAAGAGATACAGTCTGTCTCCCATGTTGGAACTCATTATGAACTTAACTCGACCAAAGGAAACAGTTATGTCTGTCAAGTCACAGTTTTTGCTACACCACTAGATGAACTAAAAGTTAAGATTGAGCCACCAATATCAATTCCTGATAGAAAGATGCAGCACACTCACACTACCTTTATCAGGGGCTTGTTAAATCCTGTAAGTTTCACCTTTTGTTAGTTCTACTTGTAATTATTGTTGCACAAAGCTGTTTGTAGAACCCTATTTGGCTTTTGGTATATTCTATCTCTCTTGGTTCTTTTTTTTTTCTTTTTTCTTTTCTTTTTTTTTTTCCAAAAAACTTAATTTGAAGTTCTTAAAAAAAATCTTTTCACGTGATTAAGGCATATATTGGCCTGGGAAGAGTTGGTGATATTCCGGACCTGGTTGGTACCCTTGAGGATTCCAAGATTCCTTTTTCATGTATATCTGTTCTGAAGAAGCACAGCAGGGAAGATATGACGTACAAGATGTTCTCACGCAAACCTGTGGATGATGCATTGCTTGATCAAATATTCAGGTCAATATTTATTCATTTCATTCTTTTACCCTATGCTTATAATTGAAGGGAGAAAGCTTGCTTCCTAAACCTTAACAGAACATAGCTACACAAATTATACAATTGCACTGCAAGGACTCGGTATTTTGAGTGTTTAAGTACCTTTTGTAGTGGCAATTGTAGTCTTGTAATGAAAATGCTTATTTGTTAGTCTTTGCTTCTATAATTGACACCCATAGTGGCATAATTTTGTTCTTTTACTGCTATTACTGTCCATGTAATCATGTATAATACGTTGTATGAAGGTGATTTGCTTCTGCTCTGCTATAGATTTCTTAAGGGCTATATGCTTTTTGGTACATTTGGCTTGTTTGCTCTTGTACTTTTTCCAATTTTTTTTATTTTTTCATCTTTGTCTTGGAATAATTAGTTTCTGTTGCCATCAATGCAGCATCAGGAAAGAGACCATTCAAATAGATTGGGCTGCATATCCTCACTATGAGGCTCCAGAGGCATTTGCACCCTTTATTTTGGATGATTTACATCTGTATTATGTAAATGCTTTTGAGAGTGCGGCTAGTGCAATGGAAACTGGTGCAGTTTCTGGTGAGAATATAGCACGTTTAATCTTATCAAGAATTTCTACTGAAGCACTCTCAAGGTTACCTACCATGAAGGGCACCACTTTCAGCAGTAGCAGGGATGATCTGTACTCCGATTTGTAGTCTGATGCATCATGTTATGAAGGATTGTGAGTTTATAACTCATTGCACATGTGTAACAATATCATTAAACTTATCTGTATCTTGTGTGTCAAAAATATCTATGTTACATGGACTCGGGTACTCATGTCCGACATGGGTATATGTCCAAGTGTCCAACTTGGCTATTTTGTGAAAAAAATCCATGGTTTTGAACCGAAAGTGAAGTGCCCATGTGTTATACCCATATCCGAGTGTTGAGGGTCCAAAAGGGGTATTTGAGGTGAAATGAAGAGTTCATGTAACATAGCAAATATGTATGACTTACATGATGTTTAATTTTCTCTTTGCCACTTTGGTATACAAATAAGACTTTGGCGATGCATTTTCCTTTTTTTTTTTTTAGTGTTTTTCACTTAAACTTTTTATTTTGGTAGGTAAAACAAAGGGCTTACTAGGTTAGAATCTCTTGGTGGTGAACTTGACCTAGGTTAGTAGGCGAGGCATTTTGAGAGTAGGGGGAAAGGCCGAAAGGGTAAGGGCAAACATGGTAGTATGACATCAGTAAAAATAACTATTCCTATACAAACATCTCACCTTAATACAAAGTATTTGTCAAAAGTTGTAAGCATTTTTTTGCTTGCTTTATTTGCAGTGTAAATTATTTGTACAAGGTCATCAGACCGTCTTATACTACGAGTAATGAACACAAATTATTTTATGGGGTATAATTTTGTCTACATTATTTACCTTTCACTATACTTTTTTAAAGAATACGGAGTAGTATTTATATAATTAATCTTAATACAGTAATTAGAAAATTAACTAAAAGAAATAATTTTTACAAGAAATATCCATCGAACAAGGACCCAATAGAAAATACTTTTGAACAGTTGGACTATGGTCTTGAGAACGGGAAATTTAAAAGAACAGACACATGTCCATCTTTCAACTGGCAACATATTTCAATCTTTCAACAAGTGGTGTTCTACTACCAGACCCCTCCAAATTTAACCCAAAATCAATGACTTTTCACTTTCAAACCTCAATATTTTCATTTTCTTGTAAGATATTCACCCAAAATAATTACATGTTGTAAATTTTTGTAATTCTATGAATTTTACTGTTAATTCTGAAAAACCCTGAAAATATTGAGAGTCTTTGATTTCTTCATTTATGGCTGCTGAAGAAGAGAAAACCAAGAGACAGAGATTTTACATTGAACTTAAACATGGTGAAACAACCATTGTTTCTTGGAAGAAGTTACTCAGAAAAGCAAAGGAGAAGGATCAATGTGGATCCCGCTTACTTCCTTCTTCAACTGCTCTTGAAACTTCCAGAAGTGCTATGGTAATTGTTCTGTTTCTGCAAATTTGCCTTACATTTTTTTTTTATGTTGATTGTGAGTTTACTTTATGTTTTAATCAATTTGATGTGAATTTAGTAGTTGTTGTGATATATACTTATATGGGTTGTTTGCATGCATTTGATATGCGAGAATCTAAGTCAATTGGGATTATAGGGGTAATATAATGTTCAATTTTGATGTAGGAATTCAAATTAGTGGTTCAAATTACAACATCAACGTGTCAATTAATTCCGGACTTGTTGGACTGAGGGAGTAGTTTGTATTTACTTTAAGCTACTACTAAGCAGACTTGTTGTGGCATAGTATAGTAGAGTGCTAGTAGTTCAGTCAAATTGGTCTATCAACGTGATAATTAATTCCGGACCTAGACGGAGGGAGTACAGTTTGTACATCCTTTCTAGCAGTCTTATTGAGGCACAGCAGTAGCTGGAGTGCTGGTACTCTGGTAGGTCCTTACCATACCATACCAAAACAAGGGTACTTATGCTGGGAATCCTAATAAAAAGCATTGGTGCTCCATTGAAGCTGTATATTGTGAACTCGTGTTTTTCCATTGCAACTTTAGCTGCGATATTGTGGATGATTTATGTAACTGAGAAAGTGAGAATATTGTGCTGGCTATTCCCTCAATCTAAGATTTAGGGTTTTACTTAACTTGGATTATCTATGCATCAGTTTCCGTTTCGCTAAACAGGTGACTGAATATTGAACCTGTGACTGATGCACAGACTTTTGCTACAAGTCTGCCAATTGTCACGTATCTGTTGAGGCACCCGCACCAAGCTTAGCAAGCCTGGCATATTGTGAAAATTTTGCATATTAATGACCTACCTGATATGTTCAAGGGCATCCATATGCATGCTGTAGAGTAAATTTATGGCACTTAGGGGGTTCTTATATAGTTATATGGGCATTAGTCATGTGGCATGAAATTTTCAATCTTATGCAAGATTCGGATTCATATTGGTAGGTTAAATGCTGGCAACTAGGTTTAATTAGAACGGCTTGCAGGGTTTTCTTGTTCACTGCTTCTGATAAAGCAAATTCTATAGATTTGCGCAAGCACCAAATTTCATTTGTTTGATGTTTTTGGTCTTGAGACATATTTCTCTCTGGATTCAGGATGGGAACCATGATGGCGGCCTGTACAATGATTCTTTCATCAGGAATAGAAGCGCCAAACATATGTATGATACTCCTCCTCCTTCTCTGTTATGGTTATATGATGGTCAATAGTTGATGCTTTGCATTTTGAAAAAGCTGTTCTTAAACCTCGTTCACCCCCAAAATTCTTCTAAATTGATACCTTCATTTAATAATTTTTTAAAAAATCCTTCTGCAATCTTTGTTTGAGATGGTTTATACTTGTGCTTACAATGTCATGTAGATGAGTGTCAAGTTTATCCTCTAGCCACAAGAAATCTTTGGGGACTATTTGACGGATTTTTTCTGTTAAACTTTTCGTGGTCCTCTTTAAGACCTTAGAATGTTTCTTCATGTCCTCAGAAATAAAGCCGTATCATCAGATTGCATGCAGCCGGGAAAGGGCAGAGTAGAAGTGGCGAAAATTGAATGTGAAAAGAATGACGGCCATTCATCAATTAAACATGCAGGATGGGAGAGCTTGAGTGCAAAAGCCACTTCCAAGTCCAGCAATCTGTTGGACGAGACCTTTAAACACTCTAGTTCACCTGCTGTGGTAAAAGATCATCGATCCAAAGAGCTGCAAGCATCTAGAATGGATGCCCCTGTCTTGACCTATTCAAAGAAATCTGCCAGATTTTGCAGTAGATCCAAGTGTCCACCTCTGAATGCAATTGACGGGGATGCTTCTATGTTTCCGTTGAATACAACACATAATGTCCTGCAAAAGACTCAGAAGATACCTTCTGAGAAAATGAAAGTAGGAGTTGGAGGTGATTTGTCTAACATTGTGAGTCAGAACTTTGAGGGTAGATGTGTTCCTGTGAAAAACAGCCCTACATCTGGGATATTGTTGCATGATAAAATACCTTCCAAAAGTTGGCATAATGACAAGAGTGGTGAATATAGGGGACTCGATGCTATTTTACCAGGCTACAAGTCTTCATTGAAAGATTCAACGAGTACCAAAGTATCTGAAAACTGTGGCGTAAAAGATGTTATTTCACCGGGCTACAAGCCTTCATTGAATAATGCAGTGAGTACCAATGTGGCATCAAAGATTTTTATCTTATATTTATGAACTCAGTTATTATTGCTCTATCTTTTGTTTTTATGGAAGGAACCTTACATAAGGCTGCAGTCATTTGAACATCCCTACGATTTTATATCTTATAGTTATGAACTTAGTCATTTGAACCACCTTAGAGATTTATGATTCTAATTCCTTTGAATTTGTGTATTTCTGGTGTACACAGTAAAAAGAAATGCATGAGGGTGTTCAGTGTTGGCACACAAGTGAAAGTGTGAAACTGATGTGGTGTTAACTCTGTGGTATTAGAAAAATGTCAGAGCACCTGTTAAATGTTAAGTCATGTCTCATGTGTAGAGCCCTTCAGTGTCGGTGATTTCCTAGTGTGCTACCAAATAAAAATCCTTCAATACCAATCAATCTGATATAGGAATTGATATACATACCTCCCAGAATAGCTTCCTGCACTCTATGTGGGAGCACAATTTTCAAATACCAATGCACTCTCTTTGGTGGCAGTGAGATAAAAATTGTAGAGAAATAGAAGGATATTCTGTACAGAAGACCGGAAGTTAGAATTACTCTTTTTTTTTTTTTTTAATTTACTTGTATATATATATATATTTTTATGGTATCGATGTGAAGTGGCAATTAAATGCATATTGTTGTATTTTCACGGGATTTAATGTTCCCTGTTTTATCAGCTTGTAGGGTTATGGCCTGAAGGAGTAATGGATCACCATACTTTGACAGAAGCAATGAGCAGAGCAAAAAGTAGAAGAGCAATAGCTGATAAAAATCCGGTAAGCTTCATGCTTCTTTCTGGTCTTATTTTGAGGTTCTTATACTTGGATATTATGTATCGTTATCTCTGCAGAGGAAACAACACCCTGGGGGTATATAAGTTTGGATCTTTATGATACTTGTTGATCACAAGAAATAGCATGATACGGATTAGTAAATGTTGTAGACTTGTAATCCCGGAAGATTTTTGTGCTGTTTCTGACAGTATGAAATTTAATTCTTTGGTTAGTGAGTTCTGATTCTTCTGAATATTTGGAATATGCTGCTTTGCCAATATTGCTATAGCCTATTCATACAAGTCTGGGTGCTAACAGAAATGCCAAATTATAGCTTTTGCATCTGTGCGTAATAAGTATATTCAAGAAACTAACATGTCGATGCACTATTACTTGTCAATATTAAATGCCAATACAAAACTAACAACTCCTTATGATGAGTGCACAATCTTAAAAGATGAGCTGCTATTTGCTCGTTAATTTTAAACTAGAGTCATTCTTTAGAGGGATTTAAAGTGGTTGGTTAGTGGGATTTGGCATCTGTTGATTTTCAATCCATCTATCTAGCTCATAAAATTGAAGGATAAGGTTGAACTGACTTGTCACTTGTTTATTTTCTTTGTTCAGGTTCGAAACATGGTGGATGATGTTTCAAGAAATTTCAGTCGTATTCCTTGCCAGAAGAGGAAAGTTACTGATTCGAGCAACATCAGTAATCCCATTCCTTATTGTCCCAGAAAGATAGCTCCTAAGAAGCCATTAATAGAGCAGCCTATCTTTCAAAGCAAGAGTTCTTGTCCATTTCCAAAGAATGTGAAACTGACTTTTAAGCAGAAGCAGCAGATCCCAGAGAAAACAAATATGAAAGTCAGATTCCTTTTGAAGCAGGAGCATGAAACTATCAAATCTAACGCGCAAGTCGCCAAAGACACATTGGATCACTCAAGAACTGCTGCTTCTCTGATGTGCAATCAACCAGTTTGATATGCATGCACATCCTGTAAATAATGCATATATTTCTCAAAGAACAGCTATCTTCGTAGTAATCGATTAGGCTAATGATATCCCTCCGGACAACACCATGCATAATTTAGGTTGGAAATGTAAGTCTAGGGGGAAGTTTTGGCCTTTTTTTTTCTTCGTTTTCGCTAACGGCAGCTTTGTGATTCCCCCTCCCTTACAGTTGTCCTGGCTGGGAAATTTTTGGTGGTCTAGTAATCTTATGATTATGAGTCTTGGGAGTTGGGACTCTTTTGAAGCTTTAATCTATATTCTGTTTATTAAACAATTAAAAAAAAAAAAACCACTAAAACCTTAAGTTAAGGTGTAGTTACTGAAACACACAACTACACAAGCACAAAAATGGGCTCAGGCAAGTCGACTACATTTGCAAAACTTGCTATTTGGACCAGCCCACATCCTTTAAATGCTTGGTACTTTATGGTCCAAAGACAAATTGTTTGACTAAATGAGTACTTAGTCCAATATACTACTGAATACTGATCAGGGTGATCAACTAACCAACAAGAGTTGGCTCAAGTGGTAAGCAACTAAGCAACTTGATGTCGCTTAAGGGAGGTCTAGGGTTCGAGCCTCACCGTATGCAAAAATTCTTGTTGAGAGACTCACCCACTATAAGTCAGGTGTGCGACTCGGGTCGAATCCGGATGTAGTTGGAGCTAAGCTTCGGTAAATTGGGTGGGCATCCTTAAAAAAAAAGAAAGTTGATCAACTGTTTATGACTTCATAAGTTCCATCATTCTCAACTAAATATTGTTACAAGTACTTTATTGTTTTAAGGAGTTCTTATGAAGTACTTCACTTTTATTACTGTATTTATTACTACCTTTATAGATTCACCTATAGGTTGGATTATAGTACCTTTGGCTTCACAAGAATATCATGCTAGTAGACTAGTACTCCGTAGTTGTCATAATTTCTAAAAATGGGTTGCAAAACTTAATGGTCGGTACTTTATAAGTTTGTATACTAACATAAAAGTTATTTAAAGCTGAATTCAAGCAATATTATTTCAAAAATGTGAATTACATTAAGATGACTATAAGGCTGACAATCCGGTTGGGTTCACCCCTAAATTTGAATCTGACTTGTTTACATAAACAGGTCAGAAGTTCTAATCCGACCCAACCTGTTTATAAACAGGTTGACCTATAACCCTAACCGTGACATAATGTCTACAAAGACTACAACTCTACAAGTACACTATTTGTACTTACGTACTATTTTTTCAAGCTTTAAAAAAATTACAGTAAATGAAAATAATAAGGTAATTTTATAAAATTAAAGGCGGCAAGAAAAGAAAGTGAAAAGCCCAAAATGTCATTTCTAAAACTTGGATCAACTTCAAATTTGAAACTGCTCCCAATTTTCACCGCTCACATCTCCACTTTCTCTCTCCTCACACCATTTTTCATCTTCTCCAAAACCGCTTCACTCCCTCTCCTCCTCCACCACCACCACAGCCGTCGCAACTTCCACCACGACGTCGAAATGTCAGGGAAATTCAAGCGAAAAGGCGACGATAACCACGCCTCCGACGCCGATTCCGACGGAAACGCTCCTCCTAAGAAGTCTGTTAAATCCAACGACGATGAAGATGGAATTGTTGTTTGCGAGGTATTTTTTTCCCTCTTGTGATTGAATTTGGAGTTGATTATTTGTTTGTTTTGGTTTTTGATTGAATTTGAATAATTGTTGAACTTAAATCCTAGATTTCGAAGAATCGGAGGGTTTCTGTGAGGAGTTGGCAGGGGAAAGTTATGGTTGATATTCGTGAGTTCTATGTCAAGGATGGCAAGCAAATGCCTGGTCGCAAAGGTATTTTTATATAATTTGCTTAATTTGGAATTATTTTCGGTAATTTTGCTGGTTTTTGAGTGTATATTGGGTGTAAATTGTCAGTTGAGATTTTTCTAGGGTTTATGTTTTGGTTGTTTCGCAAAATTGCAGAGAATTGTGAGCTGGTGGAATTTTTTTGGATTATGTTTGCTCATGTTGAGTATATATGGTGGTTTTGAAGTACTGTTATTACATGTCAGATTTTCTTAGGTTAGGTTTTGCGTTTTCATTGATTTTGAGTAGTAAGTTATGCTCTACTGTTGTTGCTATTCAGTTTTTAGTTGGTTAGGTCTTGCGATTTTAGTTGATTTTCTCATGAGCTGGTAAATTATACCCCTTCGTGAACCAAGGATATGTAGCTATGTTGAATAGAACTCTGGAATTCTCGAATATTTGACTTATAGGAAGTGCTTTCCTCGATTAATAGGAGGATTTTTTCGGGTGAGATTGGTGAATTTTAGCATTGTGAAGACTTAGGTTCTTGAAGGCAACCCCTGGGCTAAATAAAGGAGAAACTGTTCTGTAGTTTTCTGGTGATTTAATTATTGAATATTTAGCTTAGTAAGATCATTTGGATTTTCATGGTGTCTGGAATTTGGAGTGTTGCCATGCTGTAGAGTGTAGACTCTTACCTCACATGCATGAGAGGAAAGGTGCAGCCAAATGCCTTGTAGGATTTGCCTGGTTTTATTGGAACCTTGACTTTAAACCTGTATTATAATTTGTTGTTTTGTGGATTGAGGTTAGGTGGACTAGGGAGGGATAGTGGGTTGTGGAGCAAGCAGATGAAGGGGTTGAAGACAAAATTGCATGTTCATAATGTTATTGTAGTATCAATTGCCTGTTTTATTCGTGGAATAGTTGCAAACCTCTTCCCTTTTTATGTTGGAACTTGGAATGTGATAATAGGAGCATGGTTTTAGCAGAATGTTTCTATTGGATTCTTCTATAGTTTGATTTATGGTTGGTGGTTAGCGTTGTGCTGTTGCTGCAAGCTCCCCAAGTCACTTTTGGTTGATTCGAAATAATTGGCCAATAGTTACCATTTATCTCTGCCTTTTCCTCCTTAAAACTTGGTTTTTTGGATAATAGATGCTTAGACTGGTGTTTTCTCCCTTCCCTGAGGGGGAAATTTGTTCCAATTGAAGAGATTACAATTGCTGATTTGTAATGCTTAGTCTTGTAGTTGTAGTATTATATTTATTGTGCATTATTGTAAGAAACTTGTTCTGTACTCTGGAGTATTATCTAGGCTTGAGCTGCTTGACTGCATGAGCCAGGTCTTGCATTTGGCATCACTTTTGTTGATATCATGCTGATCTAGTATTCTGTAAATAAAAAAGTTACAGAATAAAATTATTTATTCAGTTTTAGAGCTTGCATGTTTATAGTTGTATTGGTAATATGAGTTCTAGCATGCCGAGTTGTACTATCAACTTTGCAATTAATTTTAGACGTTGGGAGTAGTTTGTTACTTTGTTAAGACCTTATGCCCATATTACTTGAAAATCACATACAGTATTTGCTATCATCTGATTTGTCTACATTGCATCTAATATCTACTTCCCATATCATACTTAGCACAATATGGTATTCTACTATATGTTATGTTGCATACATTTTGTATGTTCAGTCATTTCTAGTGAAATATTGTATGGAATAGTATGTTTGTGAATGCACACATGGAGCACAACTAGTTTGAAGCACCAAGGAAAAAGGATTAATGGAGATTTGCTTCTCATTTTCTATGAAATATAGTATACTACTACTGTTTATTAATGTACGCCTCTTTGCCCTAATATATTTGGCTGGGTTCAATAACTTTGTTTGGACCCCTCGGCCCCACCTAACGTTTAGTATGCCTTGCAAAGGGTTTATGTCATGTTTCTGTATGATGTTTTCTGCTATAGTTAAACGAAGCTGCGTATTTTTTACTGATCTGTAGTCATTGCTCATTTCAGGTATCTCTCTTACCATGGATCAGGTATGTATCTTTGCTAACTGGCTACAATTAGTGTCACTGATCGCTATTATCCTTTCTGCTGTGTTTTGTTTGTTGGGGAACATCTATTGGAGATGCTGACCTTTGTTTTTTCATTGGATCCTGTAGTGGAAGGTGCTTCGTGAGCATGCTGAGGAGATTGATCAGGCTATTACTGAGAATTCGTAGGGCTGGAGAGCTGGGCTTTGTTGATATAGTTGATGGATGCTGGTTTTTGGGTTGTTACATTTTGCTGACTAGGACTGCGGCAGTAGGTATTACTGATATTTTCGGCTAGTATTCTGTATCTACGTAGGGTTATTGGATAACGTAATCTGCATAGCTTGGACTTGAAAGAACAATCTTGTCTCATGTCTGTGTCCACCTGTTTATGGATGCCTACAGACTATTTTGTTAAATTAGCAGTATGTGCGTATTATGCTTATTAACGGAATACATTCATGAAGCATGTCCTTAATACGGAGTACACTACTTAATTGTAACAAAAGTTGTTTCACTATTATAGAATCATGTAACAACCAGGTCGTCATACAACTTTAAACATACATAGAAAGCAGATTTAAAAGTAGAGCTTCTTATTTACGTAGAAGAATTTCGAAGAAAAGCTCTTAAAGCATACCCAGCTCGAATTGAGTCTTCAATACAGTTCAGAAGGCATTCCACATGCAATGGCACGGTGAGCTATGAGCTTTAAATTGATCTAACTGGAATGTGGATAATTTTGTGCTCAAATTTGAGTATTTTAGGCACGGTTATGTAAAGAACACCATTCTTAAACACAGCAGTGATCTCTTCCTTCCAAGAGTTGAAAGGCAGGTGAAGTGTGGTCTCTCGTGGACTAAATACCTTGTTTCCGAAAGCATCAATTCCGCCATCTCCCCTGATCACAAGCATGTTATCCACAACCTCTACTTTAATGTTCTCAGCTCCTAGTCCTGGCATGTCAAACCACATTCTTATCTCACTTTCATCCTCGGTTGTGTTTCAGGGAGTGCGCACTGTAAAATAAATACATTTCGATATATTCTTAGTCAATGTTTGTGAAGTTTGACCACAAATCAGATCGACAAATCTACCACAAGCAATGGATAGGCAGTAGAAGATTAATCACCTGGTTATAATTACTGATGAAAAGTATATTTTAACAAACTTGAACAGTATATAGGAACAATGAATATTCACACCATGTTATTAGATTAGTTTTAGAAGGAATGGGAGATTTACCATAAGGGGAAGTTTCAAGTAGGGCAACCTTTTTGTGGAAGTGTTCAGGTGCCATAGGATCAGTCCTCTTCGGACTACCCCCGGCCTGTTGGGCTCTTACCACCAAGGAAGACCTTGAAGAAGGGGTCTTCAATGACGGTGTTGGAGACACCACAGAAGGTGAACCCAACCCAACCCAACTGGTACCGAGCTACGGACAGAGGCTGCCCTGTTGATTGACACCAGAGTTGAAGCAGAACATGCCGTCAACACATTGCTTGCCATTGAGTATGCTTAAGTAGAGCTTACTAAGAATAATTACTTCAGTTAATCAATGTAAATAATATCTCGAGTTTGTATGTTTTAATTCACTCGTTTGGATGTTATTTATAGGTATAGAGGAGCTTTGGGTCGAGTAGAATTCTTAATTCTTGTGTAGCAGTGTTTTTCACTTTTTGCATTAAGAAGCCTCATTTTGTTCCTAACATGCTGATGCTCTTTACCTCATTGAAAGCAAAGTAATTAAGATTCTCCCAACAAAATGAGGAACATATATATACTAAGTATAACAAGTACCAACATTTATATACTTTAAGAGTTGTTTATACAATGTACAGATCTTACAAGATTCAAGTTGTTTGTACTTGCATGTTATTATACTTGAAAGAAAAATGAAGATATATGCCCCTATTATTAACTTTAACTCATGCTTTATTAAGGATATATATTGTTCATATTATGTTTGATGGTGCTAATTTTGGATTACCACTTTTTGGTGACTAGGGGTTTTTTCTTCAAATTTTCGGCTAACATTCGCATTAACGTATGATCAAAATAATTTGTGAAAACTTCTTTCAATTCAAAAAAAATAATAATAATAATAATTGAATAATGTAAGTGGAAATTTGGATTAATGCAGTTATATATAAGAGCTTTTAAAATCTTGAATGCATGCAAATTTTGATCTAAGCCAAGTTCTTTGCCTACGCCTATGAGGCCACCATAATCCATGATCCAATAATTTATACTTATGTAACACCATTAATGTTAATTTAAATTTCGTTGTAATAGAGTACTATATACTTTGTAGTAGGGGTGAGCATGGAATGGGTACGTAACCGTACCGATAGTACTAATGGTTCGGATAACCGATAACCAATATCACTAAAAGTGATATCCATAAACCGAATTGATAAGTTCGGGTACCCAGATTTCGGGTATCCGGATTTTCGAATCGGTTATCGGGTACCCAATAAGATATCCAATAATGATTATTAAACTTAATAATGTAGTTATTATGATATCATTTAACACTAATTAACAACAATACCACATGATCTTGACCAAATTATTAATAATATTACTAATCATTGATATTATAAAGTGATTATGAAGTAAAGTAAGAGTTTAGATTTTGGAAAAATAGAATTAAGTAGGAAAATAAAACAAAAAATTGTTTATCGGATCGGATTGAATAACTGTTAATTTTAAAATGATACCCAATAACCATATTTGATAACAAATTATCGGAACGAGTACTTGAACCATTTTGATTATCGGATCGGGTACCCTAATTTTCGGAACAGTTACGGATCAGATTTTCGGTTTTTCGGGTAATTTTGCTCAGCCTTACTCCGTAGTATATATGGCGGCTATCTAACTATACTATGACTTGGAGTCTAGCTCTCCCCTTTTTTTTTCCTCTTTTTTTGAGAGCGATTCTAGCTCTCCTTTATTAGTAGACTAGATAGAATGAAGCCCGTGCGATGCACGGTTTTTTCATTTAAGATTTTTAATTATTTGATTTATTGTATTTAATAATTTCAGACAAAATTACAAAAGTTTAATATTTTTTTTTACTATAATTTATAATGAATTTATTAAATATAAATAAATTGTAAATATGATATTTTTTTCCGTTACATAAAATCTTTAATGTGAAATGATAAATTTTTAATAATTTAAATCCTAAATCATTATTCATTGTTTTACCATATCTTTTATTTCGATAGAATCACCAACCTCGTCCACAACCAACCTACTACATCAATGGATACATTGAACTGTGAAATGTTAGCCAAACTGAATTTGATATAAATTGAATCTTTACATTTATATAAAATAAATCAATATATTTACCAATAAATGAAAAATTGTTGTGATATAAAATCAAATCTACGTGTTGGAATTTTTTCATCATCTCCAAAAATAACCAAAGTCATCCATATATTAAGTATACAACATCTAATCGTATGCCATTAGATAAAGAAATAATCTTTAAGTATCCTAAATAAATACAATGTAACTAATAATTACAAATATAAATTTAAACATAAGATTTTAAAAATTATCCGGACATTGATGACCTAAAACTAACACAAAATTACTAACACAAAATTCGCTTGATGGGGTTTTATATTGATACAAAATTTTATTTGTGTCGTATGATGTATTAGATCTGAATGTAAAAAAAATATTTAGTAAATAAAACATAAACATATAATCGTTGAGTATCCCAAATTAATACAATATAAGTAATATTTAGAAATACTCATTTAAACATAGGATTTTAAAAATTAAGCTAAAAATTACCGGGCCATTGATGACAAAAAATTGACACAAAATTACTAACACAAAATTTGCTTGATGGGGTTTTTTTATTGATACCAAATTTTATTTGTGTCGTATGATGTGTCAATTTATAATGGTAGGTATCACAAATTTTAATTTAATTATAATTAACGAACAATTTGTATTTCTTATCATAAATACTATCAAAATTTATCTTATAATGATAGGTATCAAACTTTATTACTTCGTATAAGCGTTTATCATTTAAATATTTCTTAGTATATTTTTTTTGGACTTCTTATACTCGTAGTATTGAATTAGTAAATTTATATTTTTGCTTTATTTTTTTTCATTAAAATAATTTAATTCGTGGATTATAATCGACGTGGCATTAAAATTTTAGATATATCAAATCTAATTCGTTACTTTTACCTAGGTGGCGACATACTTTTTTAAGTTTTTTTTCTTAGAAATAATAATCATATGCGTTAGATAGCCAATATTAATTTTGTAAGTTTTTTTCCTTAGAAATAATAATCATATGTGTTAGATATCCAATATACATTCATAATTGCCGTGCATCGCTAATAATAATGACAAGGATTAATATTTTTTAAGGTTTTTTTTTTTTTTTTTTTTTTTTTTTTTTTTTTTTTGGTGCAAATTTTTTAATGTTGGTGCTGTTGTTGTCGTCGCCCACCACATAGCACCATTAAGCTACTTAATCACATTTTTTTAATTTTATATAATTAATCCTATCTTCTTCATTAACCAACCGATAATGATTGCTAATTGTCCTAAATTAACGTTTACGAAGAATGAATTAGTATTATGGTTTAATTAATTAATACGAAGTACTATTGATATCTTTTTTGAGCTTTATCTTTTTTTTTTTTTGGATTTGTTATACTCGTAGTAATGATTTAATAAATTTCTCTTTTCCTACATTTTTTACCATTAATTTATAAAATAATTTTATTTCTTGGTTTTTAATCTACGTGGCACTAAAATTTTAGATATATCAAATCTAATTTGTTACTTTTACCTAAGTGGCGACATATTTTTTTTTAATTCAAAAGTAAAATACAAATCTTTCTTCTTATTGGTCGAAATAAGTATATTTCTTACGTGGCGCTCCGAATGCTCTCCGAAAATGCCTACTTTATTTATATAATATTAGATATTTTGTAATAGCTTTTCCTCAAGAAAAAAAAAAAACTAAATAAATAAAGTTGCAATAGCTTTTTTTTTTTTTTTTTTTTTTTAGGTACAAGTGTGAGTAAGTATCCGATTCGCTAATTAAAGATGAAATGAAGAATTGTTAGCTAGTTCGTTTTAAGGGGAAAGTATAAGCCACTAATGTATAGAGTCCATTATGACTCTAATAACACAGAGTTGGTATTAAATTGTGTTTAGATGATATCATTTAAATACTAAAATACTAATTCATTAGTACTAACTAACGTAGAAATGTTTTGTTGGTATCAATATAATTCCTTGCCGGTATTTAGATGATACCATCTAAACACAATTTAATACCAACGCTGTGTTATTAGAGTCCTAGTGGACTCTATACATTAGCGTAGACAACCTCTGTTTTAAACAGACCTGACAATCCTGACCCAAACCTGATGACCCGAAATTGACCCAAAAACATTGACCCGAAAATGACCCGAAACCCGAAATTGACCCCACCCGACCCATACCTGACTCGAAAATGA